TCACTTTTTGTTTTTTGCAGTAGTGGGATTCCAAAGGCCTACACCTTGAGCCATTCCACCAGCCCTTTTGTGTGAAGGGTTTTTTTCGAGATAAGGCCTCATGAATTATTTGTCCAAGCTGGCTTCGAACTGCAATCCTCCTGATCTCTGTCTCCTGAGTAGCTAGGATGACAGGCGTGAGCCACTGGCACCTGGCCCAACATCACTTCTTGATCTGCATTTCTTTGGGATGATCTCATGGACTCCCAGGGCATTCAATACCATCTGTTTTTCTTAAATTACAAATTTGTATCTATGGCTTCAGCCTCTGCCCTAAAATCCAGGCTGACTTTTCCATAACACCTCAACATCACCACCTAGCAATCTAATAGACCTCTCAAACACAATATCTTCAAAATGAACTCTTCATTTCCCCACCAACCTGCTCTTCCCATACCTTTCAAACTCTGCATATCACCAAGTAGCAATTCCATTCCAGCAGGTGTCCAACTTTGGAGTCAATGTTGATTCTTCTCTTTCTCTTACAGTCTACTTGTAAATCCATCAGAAAATCCTGTCTGCTTTCCTTCTGAACTATTTCCAGAATCCACTGACTCCTCCCCTTCTCTTCTGTCCCCACCCTATTCCAAAGTTGTATCACTTCTTTCTTGGATTATGGGGTAAGGAAACCTGGACGTGGGTTTGAGTCTTATTTTTGCTGTTCAGTTATACTTTCTGTAATGTTTTCTGCAACACGGGGACATCTCTTTACCCACTCTCTCCTCATTGGTTTATTTTCCACAAAGTTACCAAAGCAACCCTTATAAGGACTAGAAAAGTGATTCTTATAAAAAGGCAAATGGTGCCAGGTCTGTGCCAGACCTCTATTCAATGTTTCCAAGGGCTTCCTATCTTTTTTTTTTTTTTGGTCAGGAGGTGGAGTTTGAACTCAGGGCACCCTACCACTTGAGCCACAGTGCTTTCCATCTTTCATCTGAGTATGAATGGACCCTTCCTCTGTGGTCTCTGACCCAGCCCTGCTCTCTCTACCATCTCATCTCCTGCTGCCCACTCTGCAGGCCACACCTGCTTCCTTGCTGTTTCTGGGGCATAGCACGCACTCTTGCATTGTGGATTTTACACTTGATGTTCCTCCTGACTAGAATACCTTCACCTTGATGGTCTGCCAACTGTCTTCAGAATGCTGCCCTAGTAGCTCATTTCCAGATGGAGGCTGTCATAGACCCTACCCAATCTCAAATGCCACCTCTTCTGTTGCACTGTTCTCTTTCCCTGCTTGCATTCTTCCCAGCCCTTCTTACCTCTGTCACTGTCTCCATCCACTTACTTGTCTATGCCTGTCTACCACTCTAAAATAAAGACTATTGTATCCAAGCTCTTAGAGCAGAGAGAATGAGAGCCAATAAATATTTCCTGAATGAATGAGTGAGATGGTCTTCTCAGTTCTACTGAAGGCAGTAAGATTCCTCTGTCTTTAGGGATTTCACTGTACTTAAACAATGCTTTCCTGCTTACACCAATGGGAATCTTCCGCTGATACCACTGAAGACTCCGACATGCCATCAATCTGTTTTTACCAAGACCCAACGGATTCCTCTGTTTTATGATGACAATCATGACAGGCCTGTTCTGCATGCAGAGTGCCTGCCATTCTTTCATCTTATTTTCCATTGTGACCGTGCACAAACACTATACTGAGATCTTCACCTTCCTTCCGGTGCAATCAGTGAAACTAAAGAACAGCCTGACTTCTCCAAAGATGAAGTACAAATGCACAAAAGAATCAGAAGAATGAAGTGGGACCATATTTATGAAGCAATTTGCCCTTTAAAGTCATCCTTATCAGCAAAAGACAAACAAGTATTTCACAGAACCTATGCACATAACAAAAATGAATGCATCTAAGGTCTGAGGCTTCTTTTTAACACAAATGTTAGGTACACAAACATGTCAAGTAACCATAGTGTTTGGCACACATCCAGGATGTGACTTTTTTACATCCTTTCCTTCATCCGGAGCTATTACAGTCCAACTGATTTATTCATTTTACTTCAAAACTTTTATAGTCTTATTTTTTTAAATAGTATGTTTTCGTCCATAAAAATGTCGCTTAAGGGCATTAGTCATAATACCTCAAATTCTACTTATAGTGTTAGGGCATAGATCCCAACCCTTTTTTTTTTTTCTTTTGTGTTTCACTCCCCTTTCTATTCTCAATAATCAGAAAATACTTTTAGCATTTTACAGCCTATGTAGATGGCTGGCACCGAAGAGTCTCTGGTCAACCTGCTCACATGGCTGTGACAACAGAGAATATCAAAGCCATGGGTGAGTCTATCGACTAGCCAGAGCCCCGTTCTCTCTGGCCTCAGACACAAAGGCCTCTGGCAGGAGTCTATTGACCCAGAGCAAGTCTGTCATCATGTCTAGAGAAACACGAAAATATTTAAAACATTCTACCCATTTAGAAAATATACATACACTATCACTTACAATTAAACTTTAAAACAAATCCCCAATAAAATAAAAAGAACAAACATTCACCACACAGCTTTCCTCTCGCTCATCAGGTATGTGGCAGGAGCTATGGTAGACTGTGTCTATGGGGTTAGCAGGTGGACTGTCTCTACACATTCTGCAATTCAGAGCACACAGGACAGTGAAAGAAACTTTGCTTTCCTGTATATCCTTTTCCCTATTTGGAATAGTTCTTCCTGCCAGAGAACCTTTAGATGATTCTTAACCTGGGTCACGTGTTAAAGTCCTCAGGGAATGTTGAAGGACTGATACCTGGCCCATACTCCCAGGAATTGTGATGTAATTGCTCTGTGGTGGGCCACTCCACATGATCAGATCTGGGGGATTCTTATGTACAGCAGGGCTGAGGAGCCTTCCTCTAAGTCTTCTCAGCCTCTTCTACCAAGCCTTTGCCTCTCATCACATGGGATCTTTCTCTCTTCTTCAAGCTTACCATGGCCAAAGCCATGTGTTTTGTGACTTCCCAAATAAATCATAAAGCCTTTCAGAGGCCAAACCTTCTCCATTTGTCTCTTTGTAGTCTTCCACCTAGTCTCCATTGTGCCAAACTCCTAGGACAGCAATATTAGCCATATTTACACAGAATCTATTAGATAACTCTACAGGTATCTTAATGGGGGCAGCATTTAGTTTGCCAATTTTGTAAAATAGGAAACTGAAGCCTTTGGAGAGGGTAAGCAATGTGTCCCAAGTTACATAACCAATAAATGGCAATTATCCTTCATCCCAGGTCCATGTGACTCCAAATGCCTCACTCTTGCAAAACAGCAATGATTTGGTTGGGTTTAAAATAACTTGTAATTCACTGAGTTCTAAATAGCTTGATTTCAATGAAATACTTTTTAAAATTAAACAACCATTCGTATCAACATGTGAAGTTGTAGAACTGGGGGCCTAGCTCAAGTAGTAGAACACTTGCCTAGAAAGTACAAGGCCTTGGGTTCAAACCCTAGAACTGCCAAAAAAAAAAAAAAAAAAGTGAGGTTGTAGACATAGTGGTTATATAAATAAAGATAAAAGAATCAAAGGTGAAAATGCACTTGGTCTTAATTTTCAATTTGCCAAAATGGTACAATAAACAGTTTACAGCCTTGCTTTTAAGAAAAGCTTTCTAAAGCTGCATCACGTTGAGTCTTTAGATGATAAACCACTCCTTTCCTTGCTATAAGTGAATCTTGCTGAAACATTCCATTATCTTTCTATGAATATAGAAATATTTCTTAGGGTGGAAGTTAAGTGATTATGTGAGCTGAAGATTTCTTTTGGGTAGCCTTGTTCAGGAAGATGACTTCAGGAAAAGCATGGCTACACATTGCCACATTCCCACACTGTGGCAGGTGCTTTAGGGAGATGGGATTCCCTATGCCGAGCACTCATTAAAACGCAGAGAGAGGGAGAAAGAGAACTCAGGCATCTTGAGTGCCACAGTCTCCTGCTCTGTAGACAGAGGAAGTCAGACAACAGACAGTGTTAAAGCTGGAGTAGAGGACTGGGAAATGAGATTCTGAAACTAAGGTGGAAAAGCCAGGAGGCAATATATTTTAAAGAATATTCACGTACAGATAAAACCAGGATCAAATGATGACTGCTGGAGACACATGGTCCTTACATAGTTTTAACATTATTGCTTACTTTTGCTACTTCCTTAATGACTTGTCTTAGAAAATGGGCAGCCAAGCCACATGCTAACCTGACTTCCTAGCTACAAAAGGAATTCATCAAAATTTACTTTTGTCAAAACCTCTTGAGGATGCAACAAACTACTAAAAAAATAGTTGCAAGTATTTTTATTATTTGCAAACTTACATTTAAAGAGAATTTCTCTTGCAAAGAGTCAAGGCTTCAGAATTAAAGTAAAAGCTGGTGAGGAGACCAAGGGTTAAAAACCTATCAGCTAACTTCCTTTACAAACTTAACAAGTTCCTTAAGACTTCCTTTAAGTCTCTTAACAGCATAATCCACACTTTCCCAAGACAGCTACTATAGAAAACTGTAGACTTAATTTATAAAAATGCAATCCACCAAAACTCCCCATATTGTTTAAAATTTTAAAGTATACACAATCACTTTTTAACTAAAGTTTTATATTTTGGACATAGTCCAAATCAGAAATCTTTTAAAAAACATTTTATATAAATATGCATTAGCATCAAGTTAAACCAAGAAGCATATCTAATTTACCTTGGCTTAAAGTTCACTTAATATATCCGAGGACGTGGATATTAAGCATTTGATTTGCTTTTGTTATAACCTGCAGCTTTGCAGCACACAGGACAAGTTTAAGTTTAAAAGGGCAGTCTAGCAAGTCACCAAAGTCATAGATTTTTCAAAGAAATGTCAATCGCAAGTCACCTCATATAGTAAAAGGTACTATATATTTTCTAGTATATTATTTCGTTAATAACACAACACACACACACAATCTTTCTGAAACAACCACAAATCACTCCAGTAAAGCATACCTTTTAAGGATTCACAGTTACACAGCGTGTAAACTGTTACAGGACGCAAGATGGCGGCTACAGGAAATGGAGGAGAAGGTTACCAAATTTCTCAGAGCAGAAGTGGTTTTGAAGTAACAAGTAGAAACAAAAAATAACCTAACCTCCCCAAGATAACCACTAGAACGAACCAGAGTGCCACTGTGCTGTGTGAGGAAGTGAATGTGGAGAGGCTAGCGCTCTCACAACGGAAGTGACTACCCACTCCTGGCTTCAAAACCATCTCAGCCAAGTCAGGTTTATCTCACCTGGGACATGTCTGGATTTTAGTCCTAAATAACGTATCACATATGTGCACACTCCACAACTGGTGTTAATGTAAATATGTAGGCAATTTTCACCTTGCAAGGGAGAGTGTGTTTGAAAAATAAAAGTTCGTACATCCTGTACCATTGCACTTGCATGAAGCTCTGGATAGGACAAAACTATGACCACAGAAGCAGATCAGTGACTGCTTGGGCTGAGTTTGGGGGTGGGGGTTGGGACAGTGGCTGCAACAGGGCTTGAGGGGAAGTGCTCTAACCTGATTTCAGGTTAAATGACTATAAATTTCCCAAACTGTACACTAAAATGAGCATATTTTATTGTATGTAAATTATACTTCCAGAATATGATTTTATACAACAAAGATTTGTTAACTTGGGCTTTTCAGATTTACGAATAAAATTTTCCAACAAAAGCACACTACAAATGGTGGTAAATTTCCAGACTCCCAGGTATGAACTTTCACTTAGGTGAGCGTGAGCAGCCTGGAAGACTTCTAAGTGCAGAGACATCAGAGCTACAGTTCTGGGAAGTCTGATTTGCACTCTTAGTCCTGGTTGGCAGAGGGAGAAAGGGATACTTTGATGTCAGAAAGCAGGCAAACTTAGGAACTGGTAGGTGGAGAATGCTGGGTGGCCCCCACACTAATGAGGGAACAAAGGCATATACATATGGTGGGCCTTGCCCATTTGCTAAGCAAGCCTGAGCCTCATACTTACTAGCTGAAGCGAGGGGAAGCCAGACGTACTCATGCTGGGTCGATGGTACTGCCCGAAGTTAGGTGGGAGAGTAAACTGCTTTCTTATTTCTGCTGACGAATACCTTGAATTAAAACAGAAAAATCTAAATGAGTTACACATTTTTAATTCATTAATTTTTAAATTAGGATATATTTGTTGTACAGGAGAGAGTCATTGTGACAATTCCAAATAGGCTTAGAATGTACAGTGATTAGATCACCTCCACTGTCATTCCCCCAGACCCCCTCTCCATCCCACTTCAAGCAATTGCAAGAGGTTTCATTTTTATATTTCATCTAAATATATGAAGTCCATCAACTATGTACCCTCACCTTAATCTCTTTCATTCACCCTCCCCTTTCCACAAGTACCCTACACACCTACTGCACCTATTTTACATTCCTGTCTCTTGTTATTAATATCTAAGTCGATATTCAAAGGTGTCTCGATGTATCCCTGCTGTGAGTCTACTGTACTTCGGTCCGTTCAACCCCTTCCATTGCTCTCCCCATCCCTCCTCCCACTCCTCTAAATGAGGTTTATAATTTTTAAAAAATCATTGCGATTGTAGTGCAGTCTTGATATCATGTTGTAAAACTTGTCTTAGCTGGGAAATGGGCAGAATTGTGGAAAATGTCCTCTGTGGTCCGCTAGTGGACATTGTAGTTTTTGCCTGAGAATCACACCCTTGAGAAGTTCACTGGAGCCAGGCTACCTGCAATCTGGCTCCTACCCAAAACTGGAAGGATGATGGCAGAAAGAATTTGAGGCCCAGTGAAAAGATTCAGAGCATCTGACTCTGGGCCACTGAGAGGAGTTGGTCTCTGAATAGAGTCTTCAAAGTTACTATTTTTATTTTGGAGACAGGGTCTTGCTATGTGTGGCTTGGAACTCAAAATTCCCCTGCCTCAGCATCCCAAGTGCTGGGATTATAGGCATGTACCACCATGCCTAGCTTCTAATTGTCATTTTAATCCAGGCATTCTCATTTTATGCAATTGAACCCTTTGGGCCAGCAGCATCTGGGCACTTCTATCTCCCTGTGGGCACCTGAGATGAGATCTGGAATTCCCAAGGACTCTACTTCTCCTGGAGTGATCCCGTGCACCACTCATACTGACATTGCTAAGTCTCCAGCCAACACCCCCGGAAGCCAGGAACCACAAATGAGGAAGAAAGTCATTCTCCACTGTCTGCTCACACCTTCTGGCCAGTGGGAATCCAGATTGCAAACAGGTCGACCTCCAGACATTCATTTGCTAGCCATTTGCGTGGAGTTCAGACACATCTCCTTATCACATCATGGTGTGGGTGGCTGGAGTCTCAGGACATTCAAAAAGCGCATTAAAACACAATGAGAACAAAGCATGCAATACCAATACCACTATTGACTACAGGGAGAAACTAACAGATTCCTGAGATCAGATGAGGCCATATATTTAAAACATGCTACATCCCAGCAAGCACAAGAATAATTTTTAAATATACTTCTTACATGTGTTATTGCGATATAAATAAACCTCATTATATTTTCTCCCTGACAAAGCGCAATCAATGAGGATCCCAATGTGCTCTCCTTGGCTCCCCAACCTTGGCAATCTGATACATACATATAGAGAGGCAGGAAACCTGGATTCCAGTCCCAACTTTGGCATTCATTCTCCCTCTACAAGAGCACCCCAATTTCATTTCAAAATGCCCACATTAGTGTTGTGTGCTACCTGAGCAGAAATATAAACCAAAAGGGTGGGTACGTAACCTAAGGCAGGATAATTGCGTCTCCTTCCCAGGATTCTGAGTGACAAGTAGACATAAGAAAGGAAGGAAATGCCTTAGAGCACAGTTGTGCCAGTGGTGTCCCTCACATTCTGACACAAGGTGTGAAACCCCAGAAGTTACAACAGCCAGCATGAGCTGTATTTCTTAATTTCCTGCAGCATTCTCTTTATTTAATTTCTAAAGATTGTAAGAAGCTAGTAGGATCACGAGTTAAGTATTCTATTAGCCATCCAGGAAAGACAAATTGAACCACAATAACACAAAAACACAGTAACACAACCACTAGGATGACTATAACGAAAACCATGGGCAAGTCCAAGTGTTAACAAGGATACAGAGAAACTGGAACATTCCAATCCAGTACAGCTATTTTGGAGAACAATCTGGCAGGTCTCAAAAAATTAAACATACAGTTTCCCTACATCCCAGCATTTCCTCTCGTAGGTGTACATTCCAGAGAAATGAAAACATATTTCCATACAGAAAGTTAAATACGAACATTCATGGCAACATTACTCACAACGGTCAAAAAGTGGAAACAACCCAAATGTCTGTCAGTTGATGATGGTTCAACAAAAAGTGTGCTATCACACAATGGGAAACTACTCAGCAATACAAGGGAATGAAGTACTGATACATACCACCACCTGCATGCACCCCAAAACACTATCCCAAATGAGCTAAGCTAAACCAAAAGGCTACATATGGCGTGATTCCTCACATGAGAAGGCAGACTGGGAACACTTAGAGATAGAAGGTGACTTAGTGGTTGCTATAGATGGTGGGGAGCACTGTAGAGGAAGGAAGATCGACTATAGGTACAGGTTTCTTTTTTGAGTGATGAAAATGTTCTAAAATTAATTGTGGAGATGGATAAACAGCTCTATAAGTATATTAAAAACACTGAACTGTACACATTCAATGGGTGAATTGTGTGGTATATGAATTATATCTAAAGTAGATAAAGATATAAGTTGTAAGTATTCTACATGGACAAGGGTGGATACAAAAAAAATTATCTAATTTAGTGTGACAACTAGAAAGAGAGAGAAACTTCAGATTTTTGTCTACAAGTGCTTAATAGGCTAATTTTAATTACAAGCTGGGTAGTCACCACTCTTTTAAAAGACAGATAAGACAACTCTCCAAAACAAATGTCCTCTCTCCTGTGAGAATGCATCTCGTGTCTGGCGCCACAGAAATGCAAACCGACACTGATCTTTGACTTGCTTACTAAGAGGACAACCCTAAGTCAGGGAGGGCAAGAAAGCCAAGGCCCTTGCTTGACCCTTCTCTGACTTTTAAACTGACCTTTTCACAAAGATCAATTTCTCCAGAAACTTCTGCCTCTACGTCTTCCCCCAAGACCTCTCAAATAACATGACTACCTTGAAACCCTTCCTCTTCTGAAGGGAGAAGAGTGGTGTGTGTGAAGGGGGAACACCAAACAGTGTTCAGGAAAAGAAGTGCCACTGGGAGAGGTCAAAGAGGCAGGGGGCAGGCCCTTGCTTCCATTTCAAAGCAAAAATCTGGGGTTCCATGTCAAAGTCTCAGCTCTTTTTTCATCATGAAATCAGAATGTTCCCACCTTCTAGTCCTTTTTGTTGTTGTTTAGTTTTGTTTCTTGAGACAGGGTCTCCCTATGTAGCCCAGGCTGGCCTTGAACTCTTAATCCTGCTGTCTCCTAGCTCCTGAGAGCTAGGATTACAGGTATGAACCACCACACCTGGCTTTTGTCTTTAAACAGGATCAAATTGGCACTTCTGTCTGAACTTGTAAGAGTTTCCTAATTCGGCCATACAAATGATCTTCCTGGCACTTCAGGCCTGACCTAGCACCTAACACAGATCCTAGTTCCTGTCCTTACAGAATCATTTTACAAAGGGCAGCTAAACCTGTCACTTCAAAACTGTCAAAAATGGAGGCAAACTGTCCTTAAAATAAATATAGTAAGTCACCGAAAGAGAAATAATTGCTTCATATCACTTAAAGAACTTGAAAATAAATCACCTCTGGTGATGCTCTGCACACATATAAAACTAGCAGAAGTAGGCTGGAACAGTAACACTCCATGTTGGTCAAGTTGTGAAGGAACCAGCAGCCTGGCCCTGGTGGGGTTATATATTGACTCTGTGTGTCTGGAAACTAATACTGTAATACACAAAGAGAACTATAAAACTACCTTAACTCTTTGATCTAACCATTTCATGTTGGAAATATACCCTATGGAATCCATGCAAACCAAAATAAAATTTGAGCATTAAATGAACTCTGTATGATAGCAAGATAACAAATAATCAACAGTAACCAAAGCATACAACATTAGAGAGACCATTGAGCACAAAACACAAGGAATATTATTTTGTTCTTTAAAATGACAAAAATAGGGCTGGCAGAGTGGCTCAAGTAGTACAGCCCCTGCCTAGAAAGTGTGAGGCCCTGAGTTCAAACCCTAGAATTGAAAAAAAAAAAGACAAAAACGCAAATTAGGTTGACTCATGGAAACATGCATATAAAAAAAGCTACAGATAAAAAAATAGTATATGGAACTGAATGCAAACACTTTACAAAATACAGATGCTCAATCCCATTTTCTATGGGATTACATCTTTGAAAATCCATTGTAATTTGAAAATATTCTAAGTCAAAATGCATTTAAGTCAGGCACAGTGGTGCACACCTGTAATCTCAGTTACGGGGGTTGGTGGGGGAAGCAGTGGCATTGCAAGTTCAAGGCCAGCCTGGGTAATTTAGTGAAATCTTGTCTTGAAATAAAAACTAAAAAGGGCGGGAGATGTAGTTCAGTGGTAAAGCACTTGCCTAGCATGTGAGAGGCACTAGGTTTAATCCCTAATTTGGAATATATGTATATATAAAATATTTATAATATATCTAAGTTATGATTATATAATAAATTACTATTATATAATATAATAAAATATATATTATATATAATACATAAAATATGTTATATATAAATCATTTAATACACCTAAGCTACTGAATGCCATCGCTTAGCAGTACAGCACACTGGAGAGCACAATGGGTCCTCCTTGTGAACGTGTGTCTAACTGGGAACTGTGGCTCCATGATGCAGCCCTACATCTAGAGAGCCTCCTAGCACAAATTGCTAACCTGGGAAAAGATCAAAATTCAAACCTGGAAGTTGGTTTCTACTAAATG